AGATAGAAAGCGAGAAATCACCCCCCGGGGGGATGGCCTCGCCACAATCCCTTCTCCTCCATTCTCTTCTCAGGATCTTGGGCACACACGCACATGCGCCTGGCGTGAGTTTTAAGCCACTGGGTCCAGGACTTGAACCACGGTCGACTACATGGGGTCCCAGGGCCAGCCATTATGCCAACTGCTGGTCCCAGGGGGAAATAATAATTATCTGCATCCTTTTCGCAACTACAAAGTGATAGACATCTTGCCATAGATGTTTATAATTTTTTTAAAGTTATTTTTATTGAACTTTATTTATTTATTCATTCATTTTAATTTTACTAGAGAGGGACAGAGTAAAAGAGAAAGAAAGTGAGAAAGCAAGTTGCCAAGTCTGGGACTTTAACTGCCATCTACCACATGCGAGTCCAGTGCCCTTAACCACCGTACCACTTGCTGGCCCAGATATGTATAATCTTGAATCTCTCCCTTAGTGGGGCCAGCAGTTGGTGTGATGGTTCAGTCACTGGACTCCCACATGGCTGATCATGTTTCAAGTCCCATACCTGGTGACTTGTCTCTCTCTGTCTCTGGTCAAATTAAAAAATAATAATGGAACTAGCATGTGGCATGGTGGTTAAGGTGCTAGACTCATGGATGACTGGTTTGAGTCCCAGCCCCAGCAACTTGAAATTTAAAAATGGGTTTTAAGTAGGAGGCAGCATGTACTAGATACTGGAATGTTAGGACTCTTAGACAATGGGCAGAACTAAGTTTGGCTTAAGTGATATTCCTGCACTAAGCATCTCCCCTTTCAGGGTCAGTGCATGGTGCTATTCTGGCTGCTGTCCTGAATCAGGCTGTTTGCAACAAGGCCTCCTATCACGTAGCTACATCCAGAAAAGCTCTGATAAAGAGAACAGCTTGCTCTTCACAGATGGTGAAATTTGTTCTCAGCAGCCCTTAAAAGAGCTGACATAAAGCCCTGTCTTCCACATCTGTACTGGCTGTATTTTGGCTGCAGTTTAAAAATCATTAACTTAAAAGCCAAAACCGGGACCAGCAGTTAGCTTAATGGCTATGTCGCTGGACTCCGACGTAGTCAACCGTGGTTCACGTCCCAGACAAAGTGGCTTAAAACTCACACTGGGTGCGTGTGCATGCATGCCCAAGATCCTGAGGAAAATGGAGGAGAAGGGACTGCGGCATGGCCATCCCCCTTGGGGACAGACTTTCTGTCTCTCTTTCTGTCTCTGGCGAGCGCACGTGCCCTATAGCAAAAATAAAAAAACTTCTTAGAAAAAAAAAAAACTGGGGACCAGCAGGTGGCGTGGTGGTTAAGGCACTGGACACTCCCACATGGCCGACCAGGGTTTGAGTCCTGAATCTGGTGGCTTGCTTTCTCACTTCTTCTCTCTCTCACTCTCACCCTCTGTCTCTCTCTGATCAAACTAAAAAATAAATGAATGAATAAATAAAATAAATAATTATTTAAAAAATACTTAATATAATTTTGGGACTAGACTACTGCCAAGAATATTCCTTTTCTTTGGGCTAGCAGATGGCATAATGGCTACGTTGCTGGACTCCCATGTAGTCAATCACAGTTCAAGTCCCAGACCTGGTGGCTTAAACTCAATGTGTGCATGTGCATGCATGCCCAAGATCCTGAGAGGAGAATGGAGGAGAAGAGATTGCAGCATGGCCATCCCCCTGGGGGGTGATTTCTCACTTTCTGTCTTTGTGGCAAGCGCACATGCTCTATAGCAAAAACCTCTCCCCCAAAAAAAGATAGAGACAGAGAGACAGAAAGTGAGAAATCACCCTCCACCAGGGTGGGGGGGCATGGACACATCACAATCCCTTTTCCACTCTTCTCTCAGATTTTGGGCATGCATACACATACAACTGCTGTGAAATTTAAGACACCAGGTCCAGGACTCGAACCAGGGTTGACTACTTGAGAGTCCAGCAACATAAACATTATACCCTCTGCAGGTCCTTCCTGAACTGCTTTTTTTTTTTTTTTTTTTTTTTTTGGAGAGATTTTTGCTATGAGACACAAAGATTCAACCACTCAACCAGAGAGACAGAGTCAAAAAGTGAGAAATCATCCCCTGAAGGGATAGCCACTCCTCACATTCCTCAGTCTCTTCTCCATTCTCCTCTTGGGATATTAGGCACACGCACATATGCCCAGCGTGAGTTTGAAGCCTCCAGGTCCAGGACTCAAACAGCGACTGAACTATTGTGCCATCTGCTGGTCCCCTGAACTGTTGTTTTTTTTGTTTGTTTGTTTGTTTTTAAGAATTACTTTATTTGTTCATTTGGTTTTTTTTAATTTGACCAGAGAGAGAGGGAAGATGAGAAAGCAAGCCCACCAGGTCCAGGACTTGAACCATGCCTGGCCATATGGGAGTGTCCAACAACTTAACCACCACACCACCTGCTGGCCTGCCCCCACTTCCCCCCGCAACTGTTTTTAAAGTGTTTGCAATACTTTCATCAGCCAAAGTCCCTAGATTTGGTGGCACATAAGCACTAGGGGCAAATTATTTCTTCTCTTGGCTGTTTCTCAGTTCTGATCATTTCCTATAAGTATGGATGTGAGTTGTTTATATGGGTACCCAGAAGCCTTGATGCAAATACTGCATTTTTTTCCCCTAACAAATAGATAATCCCCCATAAAGAATTGTAGGCTAGGACCAGCAGGTGTTGTGGAAGTAAAGGCAGCTGGATCCCAAGTGGTCAGCTGTGCAGTTTTGAGTCTGAATCCTGAACCTAGTGGCTCGGCAAACATGCTGGGCATTCATATGTGCCCAAATGCAGACTGGATAAGGGATTGTGGTGTGGCCATTCCCCTTGTGGGAGGGTGGTTTCTCACTTTCCCTGTCTGGAGAGCATACGTAACCTAAAGCAAAAAAATAAAAAGAATAAAAGAATTGTAAGTGAGGCTGGCAGGTGGGATGGTGGTTAAGGGTGCTGAACTTCCACATGGCCAACTGCTGGTCCCATTAAAATGTTTTGTTTTTTTTTTTAAATAATTGTAAGTGATGTGGCAGAATGAAATACCAGTTACTGCATTACATAGTAACACATTATTCCTAAGAAAATAGTACTATTTGGGGATCAGCAGGTAGCATGGTGCTTAAGGTACAGGACACTCCCACATGACTGACCATGGTTTGAGTCCTGGACCTGGTGGTTTGCTTTCTCACTATCCTTCTTCTTTGGGTGTCTCTCTCTGGTCAAATTTTTAAAAATAAATAAATAAAATTAAATAATTCTTTTAAAAAATAAAAAAAAATGGTCCTATTTCACAATCTTTAATTCTTGTTGAGATACTTTGATCAAAAAAGTCATGACATTTTTCTACGCAAAAATGCATCATGACTTTCCCGACAACCCAATAGTTTTCTTTTCCAGAGTAGCCATGGGGAAAAAAAGAGTGGAGTGGAGTTGAAATCTGGAAGGTCTTATAACCATTCCCAAAGGTTCTAGAGTTAACACAGAAACCAAGTAATGATTTGTGTACCCATCAGGAAGAGCCTTTTTGGTGACACCTGCAAATGGTTAGAGGAAACAAAATGCACAGTTGCTATGGTTTTTAAGCTATGGTAAATGTTCAGGCCTTTTGCTGCCCTGTATAAATCAGTAGAGGTAAGATGTCTTCCGAGTCTAGTGTAAGCAAGGTTTTAGTTGGATATTTGATTTGGACATACTGGTGGGTTTTGAATCATTAACAATAACAGTCTTATTAGTGAGAAGTCAAAACTTTGAATTTCTGTGGTTGGAATAAAAAAGGAAAGTTGTGGAGACAGAAGTAGGGAGTCTGGTCTACTATGCTGTAAGAAAGTAGTAACTGGTTTCTAAGTACTCAAACTTTGTAGTTATCAATCTGTATTAAAACTTCGACTGTTGGGACCAGCAGATGTTGTAATGGTTACGTTGCTAGACTCACACGTAGTTGATCACGGTTCAAGTCCTGAACCCAGAGGCTTAAAACTCAAGCTGGGCATGTGTGCACGTGCCCACAATTCCAGGAGGAGATCGGAGAATGGATTATGGTGTAGTCATCCCTGCCCCAGGTGGGAGTGATTTCTTGCTTTCCGTCTTTCTGTCTTTTCAGCAAGTGCACACGCCCTATAGCAAAAGTCTCTCTTTTAAAAAAAATCGACTATTTTTTTGTAGTGAATTACTAAAGTAGATTACTTTTTGGAGTGGATTACTAAAGTACACAGGATGTATGTATGTGTGTCTTATGCCAACTATTTTACTTTCATTTGGGGAAGGATAATATTGTTATAGTAAATATTTTTACGTCTGTTTCTTCAAGGCAAAAGAATGCACGTGCAGTTATCCACAAGCCGACTTCGGACTGCTCCTGGAATGGGAGACCAGAGTGGCTGCTATCGGTGTGGGAAAGAGGGGCACTGGTCCAAAGAGTGCCCAGTGGATCGTACAGGTCGTGTGGCAGACTTTACCGACCAGTATAATGAACAATATGGAGCAGTTCGCACACCTTACACCATGGGCTATGGAGAATCCATGTATTACAACGATGCATATGGAGCACTCGACTACTATAAGCGTTACCGGGTCCGCTCTTATGAGGCAGTGGCAGCAGCTGCAGCAGCTTCCGCATATAATTATGCAGAGCAGACCATGTCCCATCTGCCTCAAGTCCAGGGCACAGCTGTATCCGGTCACCTCAACTCCGCTTCTGTTGATCCCTATGATAGACACCTATTGCCAAACTCTGGCCCTGCTCCCACCTCAGCTGCTATGGCTGCTGCTACCTCTTCCTCCTATTATGGAAGGGACAGGAGCCCACTGCGTCGTGCTGCGGCTGTGCTCCCCACGGTTGGAGAGGGCTACGGTTATGGGCCAGAGAGTGAGATGTCTCAGGCTTCAGCAGCTGCACGAAATTCTCTGTATGACATGGCTCGGTATGAGCGGGAGCAGTATGTGGACCGAGCACGATACTCAGCCTTTTAAAAACGGAGGTGAGAGTGGGGTGGGTATGGTTAAGAGATTTCATTTAGATCCTTTGAAAGAGATCCATGCTTCATAGAGTGGAGCCACCTGTTTTCTGGTGGGACAGTGTCCAAAAAGTACAATTACATGTTAATCCTCAGTATTTTTCTAACTTAGGCTGGAGGTTTATTTGGTCAGTGGGGGTTTTAGTATGTGACCCGTACCAACTTGTTCCTTCTCATAGAACAAACACAGTTTGTTAGTGAGAATATTGTTCTTTAATCAATTGTAAGCAGATCTGGGTTACAGAAATTCATTTAAGAGAACTAACATTTGTTACATGCCTTCTGTGTATATTGTTTCATCTATATAATAAGCCTTTGAGATATTTTCTCTTTTACAGAGAAAGGAACTAAGATTCTGATTCAGTGCTTTGCTCATAGTCAGTTGGTAAGTGAGAGGTAGGGCCAGAATTCAAACTCAGGCCTGTCTGACTCCAAAACCTATGCTCTTTCCACTACAAAAAGTACTGTGGGGTCAGCCCTGTAGCATAGTGGTTAAGGGAGCTGGTTCCCACATGGTCCATTACAGTTCAAATCTTAGCCCCAGCAACTTACATGAGCCTAGAATCCTGACTGGAGAAATGGAGGAAAAGGGATTGTGGTGTGATTATGACCCACTGGGATTGCTTTCTTCCTCTCTCCCTTTCTCAAGTGTCCATGTTCTCTGGCATTTAAAAAAGTCACTGTGATATTACGCTAAAGTATAGGTTCAAGAGTTAATAATGAATAAATATCACAGTGAGAATTTTAACTATAACTTTAGCCTCTTGGTTTAAAATTAAAATTTTGGGTCATTAACCACTATCAAAGGAAACTTCTAATATCCACAAACTGGATAAAATCCTTTGAAGTGTTTTATTCTAAGACACTTGTTTTAAAGCTAAATATTTTGATGCTCTGTCCCTTCCTGTTTAGTAATCTGGAGCATCTTGTTCTATATGAGCACTTAAGCCTGATTTCTCTGTAGTCCGTGATTCTGTCATTTAGAAACTGATGCTTCCCATTTATTCCAACAGTTTTTGTTTTGTTTTTTATTTAAAAGAGAACATAAAAGGGATTAAATAAATTGGTAATTTTCTGACATATTTAAAATCCCATAGGAATGACTAAAAATTTAACATTTCCTGGGGTCGGCAAGTGGCATGGTGGTTAAAGGTGCTGGACTCCCACATGGCCAACCATGGTTCAAGTCTCGGACCTGGTGGCTTACTTGCTCACTTCCTCTCTCTCTTTGTCTCTCTCAGATCAAACTGGAAAATAATAATGATAATAATAATAAATAAAGTTAAATAAAAACAAATTCTTTAAAAAAATATTTTAACATTTCCTACCTTAGGAAATGAGTACCCAAGGTGTTGAAATGGCAAGAATAATTAGGAGTCTCTAGAAATGGATAAATATTCATCTAAGTGGAAATGGCATCATGACAACTCTATATTCTCATGGTTTTTTTTGTATTTTGATATTGAGCATCACTTGAATTTGAGCCCCAGAAGCAAAGTGAAACTGAGTTAAACACTGAGTTTCCATTGTTCTAACTTACCCTCTGGTATGTGTATAGAAGAAACAAAACCATAGGAATTTACTCTTTTATGTTAAGTGAGAAGCAAAGATGTCAGCAAAACATGGGATCTCACAAGACCATTGTGCAGCACTGTGTGTGGTGTGTTCATGTGTGAAATGGATAATCCTCCAGCTGGTAGAGTTTGCTGTTAATATTTATTTTCAACCCAGTAGGTTCTACCATAAGGTGGGATATGCATCTGAATTAAGGTGATTATTATCCATCTGTCAGATAACTTGTTTCTCTCAAGTATGATCCAGAGTTAAATGTTAAATTAGTATATTGCAATTTTTAAAGGATATTGTTAGGGTAGCATTTTAAAGTGAATTTTAACCATGAGTAGTGGTTGTTTAACCTCTTTTTAGTGATGACTTTTAAAGAAACTTACCTTCCAGGTGTGACCCTCAAGTGGACTGAATAACCTTGAGTTGGTTGCAGTCCCAGGAGTCTGATGTTAATGAGGCTGCCAGGATGAAATACTCCAGAACTGTTGGGGATCCAAATTCGGGTCTGACCCTAACAGAACTGATCCAGGAACGTCACAACTTTTGAAGTCGATTGGCACAGATCAAGACCAAGATTTGGCCCTTTGTCTGTAATAAGTAGAGGAACATGGTGTGAGTTAACTTTTCTTTTCCCCAAGCCATTGGTGTCTGGAGTTCCCATCAACAATGAAGAATTAAAGAATTCTAGGAGTGGTTTCTTCTCTTGATTTGGCAAGGGAGATTTGGTCAATTAGGGGAACTACTGGATCTGTGGCTCTAAACCTGCAATGTGATATGTAGGAGTGTTGAAGATGAGTGAATGCGACTATTCCTTGATACCCTATCCTTTGTGACTGTCATTTCTGAAAGCTTATTTACTTATGAAAGATTAAAACACATTTAGAATAGTACAGTTGGCCAGATTTGAGATGTCAGCATCTTGTGCTTTTCCTATACCCCAGAATTAAATTGTGGTTCTATGTAATATACATATATGACCTTCGTCACAGTGACAGTAGCCTTCTATCCCAGGGGTTATCTTGTCTAAAGGATAAGAAAGTGAGAAAGGTGTATTAAGGGGGCATTCATCACCAACATAGCAGTCTTCAACTAGTTTGCTTCTTTTCCTATGCATAGCTACAAGCAGATTCTATATATAGCTGTTAGTAGTCTCTTAGCTAATTACATGGATATACATTTGTTCCGGTCTGACTTAGTTTTGTTTTGTTCTTTGTTTTTTTTTTTCCCCCCTGGAATACAGGACGGGACCAGGGCCCTTGTACTCGGAGCCAAGCTGCTCTCCAGGCATTGTGTAAGCCTCTTGTGTTGTGCTCTCTTTCAGGTAGGATAATTGCGGACTGAACCCTCGGGCTGCGGTCATATATGAGAACTTGCTCCGCGCGGTTCCCCTTGCCGGGATGTTTCCATTGCTTCATGTTTCAGTAAACAAAGGAGTTTGTGACCAACTATGTTTTCTTTCTTAATTTAATTCTTCTAAGTTGACTTTTCTTTCCTTCTGATACTAGTCTCTGTAGCCTCTCACTCTGTTCCTTACATTCTCAGCCTCTGAGCAGCCCTAGGTAAGGATTATGCTGGCATCCCCTTTTTCCTGTACAGTGAATCTACCTTGCTTTCCCTAGGAGTTAAACCCTTCTCCCTGCCTCCCTGCAGCCTCTCCTTTCCCTATAAAATGACCATGTAGTGGCAAGCAGTCTTTTACTCTTCTCTGTTAGCTCTGGACTCTAACATTGAAGTTAATCTGAAATTGCTAGGACCATTGGGGGTTTTGTTGTTTTGTTTGTTTTGTTTTTTATGTCTGACCTGTGATCGTGATACAGCATTAGCTGAAATTTAGCCTTGTTTTACTCCACTTCTCCCACTTTATTTTTTTTTATTTTTTGACAAATAAAACATTTCTAACACTTAACTATCTTTTTGTGTTTGTGTGACTATTATTCACCACCAGTACCTTCTGATTGTTTCTCAGTTGTGCTCAGACTGCAAAATTTAAGTGGATGAATATCTGAAATTTAGGTGTAGAAAGATCTAGTGATGTAATATGGCTTCAGTAATAGGTGATAAGTTAGCCAGAATCTTGAGACATTGATAAATATGGTATAGCTGGTCATTAGCTCCTTTTCTCTAAATAACTAGAGTTGCTATTTCCAGCTTAAACCTTAGCAAACCCAGATAAGTAGGGATAGAATTAAGCCCGATAGAATTAAGCCCCAAAGTAAGCCCTGTATAAGGAAAAGGCTGTGCCAGAATATCTCTAAGGCCAGTGAGGTTGACTCAATTTTACTTCATAGTTTTCCAGTATACAGAATATACCTTTTAAGAGTTTTTTGTTATAAGGCACGTGCGCTCGCCAGAAAGACAGAGACAGAGAGACAGAAAGTGAGAAATCACCCCCTGGGTGGGGGGAGGACCATGCCGCAATCCATTCTCCTCTCAGGATCTTGGGCACACGCACACACGTGCCTGGCATGAGTTTAAGCCACTGGGTCCGGGACTTAAACCATGGTCGACTACATGGGAATCCAGTGACATAGCCATTACACCAACTGCTGGTCCCCAAGAATATACCTTTTGAACTGGCCCTGCGGCCTAGTGGTTTATGAAGACAGATCTTACATGGCCAAACAGTTCAAATCTCAGTGACTTGGGGGGGAAAAAAAAAAAAAAACAGTTGGGTGCATGTGTGTGCATACCCGAAATCTTGATATGACAGGATGGAGAAAAGCTGAAGGAATTGTGGTGTGACCATGTCCCATTGGGAGATGCTTTCTCCCTCTCTCCACTTTCTGCTTCCCATCCCCCAATGCCCCCACCGCTGTGCTTCTGTGATTCAGTACCACAACACGCCTTCACCCTCTGACAAAAGAGATATATACATCTTACACTTAGTTGGCTAAGTGTAGTTTTTGAAGATTTATTCTGGGGCCAGCAGATGGCATGGTGGATAAAGGCGCTGGATTCCCACATGGCCAACCACAGTTCAAGTCCTGAACCTGGTAGCTTGGTTTCTCACTTTCCCTTTCTCTCTCTCTGGTCAGATTGGAAAATGACAATAAATAATGTAATTAAATAAGTAAATAATTCTTCCTAAAAAAATTGCATAAGTTAGAGAACGCTCACAATTGGGTCTGACACTGATCCAACCCCAGCCTAAGCCAGCCCCAGATCATAGGCATGTGTTTGCCTGGCATTACTTGGGTCTTAGCATGAACTCAGAACTTTCCCATGTGGGTCAGCCTCGTAGCATCACATATTAATACTGTGCCACTGTCTAGGTCCTCACCTCTTTAAAAAAATAGTCATTTATAAGGACTGCCCTGTAGCACAGCAGTTAGGCACTGTGAGGAGGGAGCCAGATCCCACATAGCCAACCACAGTTGTAATTCTGGTCCTGGCAATCTGAAAAACAAGCCAGGCATGTGTGAGTGCCCAAAATCCTGACCAGAAGGAAAAATGGAGGCGAAGGAATTGTGTGATCATGAACCAGTAGGGATGCTTTCTCTCCCTTCTCTGAGTACATGTGCCCTCTGGCAATTAAAAAAGAAATACAATTTTAATTCATATATGAGCTATTTAGAAGTTTCTTCCCAAAGTGTTAATATTTTACTAGGATTAGGCTTTGGCTAAAATGAATAAGACAATTTTATCAAGATAAGGAAAATGTCCTAATACTTAGAGCAAAAAAGCACATTTTTTTTCTTTCCGTGTTGCAATTCCTTCACCTCCATTCTTTTCTTGGGATTTTTGGGATGCATGCACATGTACCCAGTGTGATTTTAAAGTTGCTGGATCTGGGACTTGACCTGCAGTCGGCTATGTGGGAGTCCAGTGCCTTAACCACCATGCCACCTGCTAACTCCTTCAGATGGGATATTAATAATTAACAGTGACATTCTGCAGTAGTTTGTTCTGGATTTTTTTGTTAAGTTACCTTGTCAGAGAATGTGTGAACATACGAGAGAAAACAGCCCCCTCAATGGGGCATGGCCATACTGCAATTCCTCTTCATTTCTCCTTCCAGTAATGATTTGGGGTATATATGTACACATGTCTGGTGTGTTATTCAAGCTGCCAGGGCCAGCACTTACTTCAATTGCAGTGGACCATGTGGGATCCACTTCCTTTAACCACCATAGGACTATAGGGTCCTGCCCTGTAGCACAGCCGTTAAGTGCTACTGTGGAGCTAGACAGTGGCACAGTATTAATATTTGATGCTTTGAGGCTGACCCACATGGGAAAGTTCTGAGTTCATGCTAAGACCTCAAGTAACGCCAGGCAAACACGTGCCTGTGATCTGGGGCTGGCTTAGGCTGGGGTTGGATCAGTGTCAGACCCAATTGGGAGTGTTCTCTCACTCATGGAATAATTTTTTTTTAAAGAATTATTTATTTAATAACCACTCATACCACAGTGGTTAAGTGTTATACGTGGCAAGTGGGATCCACATGGCTGACAAAGGTTTGAATCTTGGCCTGGAAGCTTGGGAGCGATGTCTGGCATATGGGTGCGCTTACTGAAAATCCTGATGCGCTGGAGAAAAGAGGATTGTGGTGCAGCACACCCCGGGGGAGAGTGTGCTTTCTGGTGGGTGTATTCTGGCAATTAAAAAAAAATGTTTTTTTTAAGGGGGGCAGCAGATGGATGGTGGAGTGGTTACGTCACTGGATTCCCACATGGCCTACTGCAATTTAAGTACCAGACCTAGTGGCTTGAAAATGACTCCTAGGAATCTGACTGGAATAGATAAAGTGGATGGAAAAATCATAAAGCGTTGGCGGTCAGTGTCAGCTTGGTAGTGCAGTAGTTAATGCACTGCTAAAGAGAAGCTAGGTCCCCTGTGGCTACTGTGGTTTGAAACCCTAGTCAGGTCATCCTGGAACATGCCAGGCACATGTGCATGTGCCCAGAGTCAACAAGGTAGAGGAAAAGGACTGTGATATGACCAAACCCTATGAAGTTAGGGAGATGTTCCTCTTCTCATTCTCTTGTGTGTACATGTGCTTTTATCATAAATTGAAAAAGAGGTGTGGAAAAGATAGAAAAGATTTTGGAGAGGGGAAACTAGAGTTCTATTTCAGATGAGTCAAGTTTGAGATGTATTGAGGTGTAAGACACTCAAGGAGAAATGTCAGGTAGGTCATTGTATACCTGAATCTTGGGCACAAATAAGTCTGGTACCGGAGATAAAAATTTAAGAGTCTTTAACTGGAACCACGATTAGGTGGTTAAAGTGGGTGGATCCCGCAAGGTAGGTACTGCAGTTTGAGTCCCAGTTCCAGGGGCTTCAGAAACATGCTGGGCAAGTGTGCATGTGGGCTCAGAGTCCCAAAAGGAGAGAGATGGGAAGAGGATTACAACATAACCATTCTCCATGAGGGTTTTTTTCTCCTCTCCCTCTCTAGCAAGTGCAGGCATAAGTATATTCACTAGAGAAAGACAGAGACAGAAAGATAAAGTAAGCATCCCCATGGAGGATGGTCACACTACCATCCCTTCTCTGCTATTCTCTCAGAATTTTGGGTATAGGAATGAACAGTTAGCATAATGGCTATGTCGCTGGACTCATGTAGTCGACTGCAATTCGAGTCTCGGACCCGGTGGCTTAAAACTCACGCTGGGCACGTGTGCATGCGTGCCCAAGATCCCGAGCGGAGAATGGAGGAGAAGGGATTTTGGCATGGTCATCCCCCCCCGAGGGATGATTTCTTGCTTTCTGTCTCTCTGTCTGTCTCTGGCGAGTGCACGCACCCTATAGCAAAAACCTCTCAAAAAAAAAAAAAAAAAAGAATTTTGGGCATCCACACACATGTGTCCAGTGTGTTGTTCAAGCCACCAGTCCTGGACTTGAACTGTGCAGTCAGCCATGTAGGATCCAGCTGCCTAACCACCACACCACCAGTTGGCCCCATAATGAACATTTTTTTTTTTTATTTTATTATCATCATAATCTTCTTTCTATTACACTAGATTACATATAACTTTACATTGACTTCCATTGCTTTTTCAAAAGGGAATGCCATGCATGTCAGTCAATACAGAGATATCAATCTCCCCGCTTTATCATTCAATATCTTTTCCATGCTTTTCCCAATAATTATTATTATAATTTTTTAAACAGTCAATCACTATTTCTCATTTTGCTTATTAAAAAGACTTCACCCATCATGAAATACTTCCCAGACCGGTTCAGTTGAGAATACTATACATGTCATCATCAACAGGTAATAAACCATATCTATTTCTCATTAACATCCTGCCTCTCTATTGTTCACTGCTGTCTTTATCCTCTTCTCCCTCCTTTTTTTTTTTTTATACTTTGTTTTTTATTATAAATTTTTTTT